AAAAGAAAAAACTATACAAAAAAACTACGCAGAAATAAACAGAAGAAAATAAAGCAGAAAAGAAAAAAACTATAAAAAAATTGGGGCGCTGTCCTGTGGGCCTACTAGGCCACGGGCGTGCAATTACAAGCCTTAAAGGCCCAACAGACTCACAGGGCAGCGCGCAGAATTTAGGCCCACAAGCCTGCTATATAGAGGAGTTCAAAGAGGTAACCGCGGCTGGGTTTATAAACCAGTGCGGCTGCCCTTCGCCCGGCGAAGTGGGACTAAACTTTGGGGTGGTACTAAAGGATGATCTGTAGTGCCGGTTGGAGCCACCAACCGGTACTAAAGGCCTGCTCTTCCCGCCTCTTGGCCTGGCCAAAGTTGGCCTTTAGTACCGGTTGGTGGCTCCAACCGGTACTAAAGGCCCATCCTATATATATAGCACTTACGAAAATTTCAGTTACATCTCCTCACTTTCGTCTCCAACCTCTCGACATCGCCGCACGCCGCTCGATCCCGTCGTCGCCGCCCATCGCCCGTCGCCCGTCATCGTCGTCGCTGTCCCCGCCGCCGCCCGTCGTCGTCGTCGTCTCGCGCCGCCGCCCCAAACGCCGCCGCCGTCCGTCGTCGTCGCCGCGGTCCCGTACGTCTCTCGCACCCGCGCGCCGGCGCCCCCACCCCGTACGCCGCCGCCCTCGCCCCGTACGCCGGCGCCCCCGCTCGTACGTACGGGGCGGCGGCGTACGGGGCGGCGTACACACACATACACACACACACATTTTTTACTTATTTTCTGTTTTCTGTTTTCTGTTTTTTTAGAAAATTTAATTAGATATTAATTAGCTAGGTATGTGAGATTTGAACTAGTTGAATAATTAATATAACTAGTTTATTTTTAGTAAGAAAATTGTTGAAATAGTTTATTTAGGTATATGAGAATTGAACTAGTTGAATAATTAATATAACTAGTTTATTTTTAGTAAGAAAATTGTCGTATCTGAGATTTGATTATCTAATTAAAATATTATTTGTTAATGAGTTTTTCTGTTTATTTAATGTTTTTATATATTTTGAGTTTATATAAATGTTAGATTAATGTCGAATGTTAGATGAATTAGATAGAAAAGTTAAATATACACTAATATCAATTGTTAGAGATGAATATGGTTAGATATATATTTGAATTGGTTAGATATTAATTAATGTTAGATAGTAATAAGTGTTTAATATTTCACCTAAGTGGGATAAGTCTGAGAAAGAGATGGAGGATTAGAACTAGTTTATTTTTAGTAAATGCTTAGTTGAACTAGTTGAATTAATATATAGAACTAGTTTATTTTTAATAAATGCTTAGTTGAATTAATATATAGAACTAGTTTATTTTTAGTAAATGCTTAGTTGAACTAATTGAATTAATATAACTAGTTTATTTTTAGTAAATGCTTAGTTGAACTAATTGAATTAATATAACTAGTTTATTTTTAGTAAATGCTTAGTTGAATTAATAGAAGTAGTTGAATTAATTGAATTAGTAAGTGTTTAATGTTTCGCCTAATATGAACATAGGAAATGTCGTCTGACGACGGAAAAAATTTCGGAATGTGCACATACTGTGAAGACGAACGCGGCCAGTGCGACCGAAATTTCCTTGTTGATGGTAGGCGATTCAGCATCAAGCTGGATGAGACTTTCGAATTCAATACAGTAAGTCACAACGACAAGTCTGTTTTCGTAATTAAGCATGACTTATATATGTTTCATTTGCCTGACTTATAATTTTTAATTTTCACTATCTAGCGCATCCCATGCCATGCAAGAATTTTTGTCTTGGATAAGATAGGTTTCAAAGATATGGAAACTATGGAGGTAAAGAGAGCTTACCTGAAAACTGAACATGATGGTTATATTTTCAACGTCAAAGTATACAATGCACACACGTACACCTATTTTAAATGCAAAACTTGGCAAGCACTATGCAAGGCTTATGCATTTGAGCCTGGTATGGTTATCACCTTTGATATTCGTCCGGAAGATGATATTGAAGGTAATAGAGACATATGGGTCGATGTGCAGACGCCTCCAGTTCTACCATTATGTGAGTTCTTCTCAAATATATTTTTGTCTTTGATATTGCTCATTTCAAAAATAACTGACAACTAATTTCTATTGACAGCTTATCTCCATTCAACCAAATATGTCCGGCGCTTGGTAGACAGGACCTTCTACTGTCCCGGAGCTGAACTAAACTGCGAGGAGATAAGTCATTATGTTTCATGGCTTGAGGATCTTCATACTATCAAGACAATTTTTTTTCCTGCACTTGGAAATGTTAGTACTCAAAACGTGCGACCAATAGTGATGGTATTGAACTACGGTCACATCTATTTAGGAATGATGGTAAGATATTTACTATTTGTCCTCGGTGCATATTTTGCATACATATTTTTTTTAAACTTTCATTACTGAGTATATTAATTAAGTACTATACGATGTTCTTCAACAGGGACTCCCGATGACAATTGTGCCTCAGGGGATCGAGACTAAAGGTCAGATGTCAATTGTTAGCTTAAGGCCAAGATATCCTGCATTGCACATGAATGCATTCAGGATTTCTAGAAGCGATGAATGCTTAATAGTGAAAGATTGGAGGAAAATTGTTAATGATCGCAGAGAAGTACTAGGGGGCAGCAATGAGAAGCGCAGCCCATGATTAGGAGACAGGTTCATCGGCATGCTCCAGTATGATCAATCAGGAGAGCTATACATGTTCTATGCTATTTTACCAGAGAGAGTAGCTAGCAGGAGTGATTTAGCTAGTTCTTCATGCTGCTCTTAATTAGTACTTGGCCTTTCATGTCCGTGTTCTTCGTTCTGAACTTAAGTGATTTGCTTTTGTGGTGTTATATATGAACGCTTATAATATCATGACAATCATGTTGAACTCGATGATTGGTTCTACTAGAAATTCTATTTATATATATATATATATATATATGCATAACGTTTACAATGTGTAGTATCGTAAAATACCAGCAAACGAAAAAGAATTAAAATGGAAACATAAAATTAAATGAAAAAGAAATCATAAAACTAAAACCCCCCAAACCTTATAGTACCGGTTGGTGTTACCAACCGGTACTAAAGGGCTCCAGGCCCCCGGAGCTGGCTCGTGCCACGTGGTTTCCCTTTAGCACCGGTTCGTGCAGAACCGGTACTAAAGGGGGGGCCTTTAGTGCCACACTTTAGTGCCGGTTATGGAACCGGCACTAAAGGGCCTTACGAACCGGTGCTATTGCCCGGTTCTGCACTAGTGGTAGTTACCCTCATGGTCCCTGCATAGCGCCGCTACTGCTCCTCCTTGCTTTGTTCTCCCCACAGCTCCGTCAACATTAATCTTCGCCATCTCCCCGGGGGGTGGAATCCACCGCTTGGGCTGCAGAGCCGGGCTTGTTCTTGTGATTGCATGCTCTCTTCCAATGTGTAAGTTACCCAACTCCACAATGTAGTTGCCAATGAAAGATGTCGTTTGTTGTGGGCTATGAAAGATTGATTCATAGATTGCCTTTCTCCTTGAGTACCATATGGACCACAGCGTAATGACCATTCTTGTGAACTTCTCCCGATCCAAGCTCTCGCTCAACTCAAACAGCCAAATCCTTGCATTTGCCTCCATGTTTTCCGACATCATTGGTCAGACGATCGCTTTCTGTTGCTGTCAGCCACATCCACCTCCATGACCTGTTGATCATGACTGCCCTCGTAGCTCGACTCCGGTGCGGGCGTTGCCCCCCCGCTTCTGATCTTTCTGGTTGCTATTTCTCCGGCGCGTACCCCAAGCTGTTGCCGCAGGTGCCTGCAGGTTTTTAAAAACCAGAGCTGAAGGAGGATGAACGCCATCACCATGCTCTTTGAATTCGTGGCCCATCATGCCACAAACCTGACACCAATCTGGCAAACGTTCGTACTTGACAGTGAAGATCTCCCTCTGACCACCACGGATCAAAGATATGGCTTTCTTCAACGGGTTACGAACATCAAGCAGGACCCTGACCCTGTAAAAGTTGCCTTCAAAGTCAAACGAGGAGGGCTCTGAATCAACAAACTCTCCGATCTTAGATGCTAAGGCCTTTATCTTCCCATGATAAGCAATGGGGAGGTCGATGATCCTCGCCCAAATCTCAATCGTATACAGCTCGATCGAGGAGGGCTTCGTGTATCCATCATAAGGAGCGATGACCACTGGGTTGCCTCGGAAGTGCCATGGCCCGCCCTGCGTGACCCGTTCCCAGTCTCCTAAACAATCAAATTACATCTGGAATAGGTTGTCCTCCAAAGTTTTGATCTTTACTGGCCTAGCCAAATCCCATGCCGTTTTCATATTCCGGAAAAACCAGTAGTTGTTGAATCCTTTGTCCATATGGACTCGGGCCAGGATCATCCACCGAAGTTTCTCATCCGCCCGGGCATCATCATCCTCAAAAATCACATCGTCGAGATCGTCTTCCTTAAGAGCCAGCTCCTGCATCATCACCTCCAAGGTGCCTTTTCCCTTGCGATCGCATGCAGAAGAACTTCCATGGTGAGCCATGACGTAGCGTCGGCAGAGCCGCGCAGCAACGACGCGGAACCCTAACCCTCACAAGATCGAGGTCGTTGCAGGGTCTGGGAGGCAGGCGTGCTCCCCCACGACGGCCCTGGTACAGATCCAGTTCCCGTCGGAGAGGAGGGAGGTAGGTTCTCAACGTCGCTGGGAGGCGGCGAGAGGAGCCTAATTGGATTTCCACAGCTGTGCCAGGCCGTGTTTGATCTTAAAAGCCATGTCGTGCCGGACCCTTTTTTATAGCTGGGCCGTGCCATTCCGTCCCGGGCCGGCCCATATGGCGGCCCATATGGCCAGGTCTAGCAGCCTCATCCACCTACCGCACCACACCGCACATCGCCGCGGCATCTAGATCCGTCCTTCCCATTCCCCAAACCCTCCCCCACACACACCAGAGACCAAACACACCTAAGCCATGGCGCTCCGCACGTTGGCCGCGAAGAAAACCCTAGGCCTGGCGCTCGGCGGCGCCAGGGGCGTGGCGACGTTCACGCTCCCCGACCTCCCCTACGACTACGGCGCGCTGGAGCCGGCCGTCTCCGGCGAGATCATGCGCCTGCACCACCAGAAGCACCACGCCACCTACGTCGCCAACTACAACAAGGCGCTCGAGCAGCTCGACGCCGCCGCCAGCAAGGGGGACGCGTCCGCCGTCGTCGGCCTCCAGAGCGCCATCAAGTTCAACGGCGGCGGTAAAGCACCCCTCTCTCCTCTGGATATGCCTCCTTAGATTCGTTCGTTCGGATGATTCTTTGATTCGATTGCTGGTGCGGGGCTAGAGGAATTGATGCGGGGATTAGTGCGTTATCGAGTACCAGACGAGCATCTACAGAGTGAATAACAAACAAAACATAATAATCGAAGAGATAAGGCAGCATCGTGGCGCAACCGTGAGACCCGTGACCGACCGTCATTTGTTGTCGATTAGTTTCTGTCTTTATGAAACCTCGCTCAACTCATCCTATTTAGGCGATTCAGCTGCGCCCAGCAGCATCTCTGAACCTTGTGGTGGTCTAGTGATTAAAGATAACCAAGCAGAATACTACAATTCATTAGTAGCATTATCCTTGGCACATGGTTTCATGGGCCTTTTTGGGCTGTTAACCAAGAATGGAATCTACTCCTTCCGTCCCATATTAATTGTCGCTTGCTAGATGCATCCGTTTGAGCAACAATTAATATGGGACAGATGGCAAATTTGGACAGAAAATGGGGCCCGGAATTCGTTGACTCTCAAATGGATGTATCTAGCACTAAAATACGTCTAGATACATCCGTTTGAGCGTCAACTAATTCCGGACAGAGGAAGTATTTTGAAACCGTGACTAGGTAGGGCATTCCGTGAACTTGAAAGACACTTTCCTTTGAGGTCATCCTGTAATCAGCTTCTCTAGTGCCTCTAATAATCCGGATGTAAACATCACAAACACGTCACAAGAGATGCTTCTGCATTGTTATTTGGTTTATTGGTGTTAACCTGATTGTGTTTTTATGGTTTTTTCTTTGATACAACTGCTTTTATGGATTCATTCCCATATGGATGCTTAACTGCAAGTTCTTTATTAATCATGATGCTATGTTACTATGTTAGTATCATTAGCTATATGCATAATTTAGTTAGGGATGTCTGGGAATACATTTTTTTGTGTTTCATCCATAATCATAATTGTGACTTGGTTGCAAGTTGTAGCTGTTGAAGGGGTCATCGTAGTGGATGTTCATGTGTATATTGGTTGGTTAATTGAGATATTCCTAGCACTGATGTTGTCAACTGCGCTGAATTTTAGGACATGCTGGGCTTCATATTTTTTTGAATTACTGATACTGGTGCTTGATACCGAGAAACAGTATAAGTGGCAATGTTATAGAAGTATGAATCCATGAGCTGCTAAGATTTTTTGTGTTTTGCTCCACTTGGTTTTTTAGTTTGAAAGAATTGCTTGACATGCCCATTGCTTAATTACTTTTTTTGCAAAATCGACCATGTCTCAACCTATTCAACCATGAGTATTTCCCTGTAGGTTCCCTTTTAATTTTGTTAAAAAATCTAGGGATTTGAAACTGGTCGAACTTCTACATTTGGGGATTAGGTGCTTGTGACGCTTCATGGCTCGATTAATACCTTTGACTACACCTTTTTTACTTCTGATGGAGCCATGCCAAACTATAGTTTTTATGCGTGCATCCTTAGCATGGTTTTTGAGTCGCTGATTAGTACTAATTGCCAAGTCGTTTTCCAAAAATCAGGGCGACTCGCGACTATACAGCGACTTATGGCGACTATACAGCGACTTTCGTCGACTATACGCTGAGCCGCAGGGCTCGCGGCGACTCGCCAAGTCGCGACTCAAAAACCTTGATCCTTAGCTACTGAGACACACAGTTTGAGTGTTATTGGATTCTATTCCCTGCTCATATCTGCACATTAAGTAGGAATTTAGGATACTACCATGTGACAAATCTGAGGTATAATTTTATTCTTATGCTAATAATTCCGTCAATACTCGTACGCATTCATCATGGCTTCTCACTTCGTTTTATGATGTCCTAACTATTAAATTTGTTAACAATACCAAGAAATGCTGTGCAACTAGATAATTCGTAAGGACTTGATGCTGAACTTCTTGATTACAAAAATGGCGACGTGGAATAAATTTATTGGCTTGATATTGTTAATATAATATTCGTCTAAGCATATCATTTATTAATGTAGGCGCTTTACCATGTTGCAGGTCATGTTAACCATTCAATCTTCTGGAAGAACCTCAAGCCCATTAGCGTAACTATCTAACCGATACCCTTTTGCTCAACCACAGCCCCGCCCTCTTTCTCTCTTTCTCTCTCTTTTTGTTTTCTGTTAAGACTTCCACCATTTCAAACAGTTAAAATGTTTGGTGCTTTACAGGAGGGTGGTGGTGAGGCACCTCATGGCAAACTTGGCTGGGCCATTGATGAGGATTTTGGTTCTATTGAGAAACTTATAAAGAAGATGAATGCAGAGGGTGCTGCTTTACAAGGATCTGGATGGGTGGTATGTACATTATGCCCTGTCTTGTCCACATTACACATTATTTTATCTGGTGAAAGTGCTTTGTTAATATTCACATGTTTGTTATGCAGTGGCTAGCTTTGGATAAAGAGGCCAAAAGGCTTTCAGTTGAAACTACTCCTAATCAGGTGAAAGTTCTCATCCTTACTTGAATCATAGTGTTCCTAAAGGACAGTTTATACAGTCTTTGCACTAATTTATAGTTCAATTCATTTCTAACATTTCCCTGTTATCATGCCAATGCTTGTTGGAAGAATCAGTAATTAATCCATTCATAAGCAACTAAGCATGCAGTTAAAGATAACCATATTTCTGAAAGGGCGATATTTCTCAGTGCTCTGTACCGTTGAAAAGATCACTGAGTTGTCACTGCGATGTAACCCCAGGCCTCATATGTCATCCTCACTTTTGTTGGTTTTTAATTGATGGAGAAATGGTCACAGTGAAATCTCATTAGTAGTAGGATATTCAGTAAAAGCAGTACACATGCCATGGGAACTAATTTCTGCGGCTGTTGATGTGGCAAACAGGGTAGAAAAAAAAACGATATGACAAACAGGGGTTGTGTTCTGGAATTCAGTAGTCACCTGCTGCAAGGCTTTAGAGTTCTTTATGAGATAAAAAGGATATCAAGCTTCAGTTTGATTAATAGTTGACATTAAAGCAAATCTTATATATTGACTTGCATTCTGCACCTAGCGTCTTGAAGAGACCAATATATTTTTAGCTGAGCTATGTGAAATTGCAACCCTCACAATCTCCACGAAGGCATTTATAGTTTGTTTTGCATCCTAGTTTGATCAACTTAAGAAGTTTTTATTGCCATGTGGAAACTTTGTGTATGAAGTTATGGCACTGCAAATAATCCCCCTGTGTGGTGCCTGGGGTTGGCAGGAGTTTTTTTTTCCTTTTCATGCTTCAACTTTGAGGTAGTTTTCATGTGCATACAACTTACTTATTGGACCTTGCAGGACCCTCTTGTGACCAAAGGGTCAAACCTGCATCCTTTGTTGGGAATTGATGTCTGGGAGCATGCGTACTACCTGCAGGTAATCTCATGTTGGCACTGAAGGCTATTCTATTTGCTCTAATGAGCTGTTATTTTGCTGATGTTGCCATCCTTCTTTTTTTAGAATATGCGTCATACGTACAATCACATTCGATAAGATTTCACTTGGCCCACTTGGTCTTTTTTCTTATTCTTTTCCATTTTTCTGTGTTGGTAGTGTTTTTGTGACGAAGCTAATGCCTGAAAACTATCCAACCATTTTGGACGTGCTAATTCCCAGTACTGTAGGAATCGCAGTAGTCCCTTGCTGAAAGCAAGACTAGTAGAGCCCGCATCTCCCTTTAAAAGAAAACACGAGTAGAATAGGAGTGATATCATTGTGCTCCATGATTATATGTTGGCAGGGAAAAACATGGTTGTATATGAAGGTTAATTTTGCAATGGTATAATGCAAGATCACGGCCCCTGTTTTGGTAGATTTAAATGTATGTAGCCCGAAACGGGAAAGAATCATAGCATAATTATCAACTTAGCATATCAACCATTTGTGTTGAACATATGTGCCAAAAATGTTTAATGCATGGCGGAGCAGCCCCTAAAGTGTTATTCTGCTGGTCTTCTAAATCAAACTAGTATTTTATTTTTATTTTCGTTTTTGTCAAGGTGAATGGAAATTGAAAGGTCCTTCTCAGTGCTAAGCTAGGGTGTATTATTTGTGATTGCAGTACAAGAACGTGAGGCCGGACTACCTGACCAACATCTGGAAGGTGGTGAACTGGAAATACGCTGGAGAAGAGTATGAAAAAGTGCTTGCGTGATTTGTCTGATGAGTAGACAGACAGTACTTCGCTCGCTCGCTCTTGAGTTCCCCGCTGTTGGATCTTTGTACATGCAGTAATAAAAGTGGGCACTATTCCACTGTCGGGATTCGTCTGTACATTGCATAGAGGTGGACTACTGTCTAATGCGCACAACAGTGCCCGTCCGTTTTGGTACTTGTTACTGTGCCTGCGTGGCCTATAAACTCATTCGCTAGTGCTGTTGCTGTTCTTCTGTGCACGTATTCGATAGTAATCTGCCGGGCTTTCGATGTTGTGCTAAAGTTAGAGCAAGTCTAGCAGACCCTGCAAAAATTTGACCTGCAAAACACGTTTGCGGTTTCACAAAGATCGCGTTTGCGGGTCAAAAACTAGCGTGGCCGAACAAAACCCGTATCTAAACCTGCATAATTTGAAAAAACACTTTCGTGGGAGAAATTGCACAAACATAATTCACCACATACTACAATGTTCATCACATATCAAATATAAGATGCCTTTAGATGTCCCTTCAAAAGAAAAAGGGTCCCAATAACTAACACTAGGCAGTTGCCATCTTAGGTCAAAGTTTCTTGCCATTTTTTGGACAACTACAGTTGTTGCCATGTGTGGTCTGGTCTACTGCAGTTGCCATAATTTCAAAACTTTAGGAGTTGCCACCTACTAACACTAGGCAGTTGCCATCTCAGGTCAAAGTTTCAGATTGCCATTTTTTGGACAATTACAGCTGTTGCCATGTGTGGTCTGGTCTACTGCAGTTGCCATGATTTCAAAACTTTAGGAGTTGCCACCTACTAACACTAGACAGTTGCCATCTCAGGTCAAAGTTCCAGATTGCCATTTTTTGAACAACTACAACTGTTGCCATGTGTGGTCTGGTCTACTGCAGTTGCCATGATTTCAAAACTTTAGGAGTTGCCACATACTAACACTAGGCAGTTGCCATCTCAGGTCAAAGTTCCAGATTACCATTTTTTGGACAACTACAGCTGTTGCCATGTGTGGTCTGGTCTACTGCAGTTGCCATGATTTCAAAACTTTAGGAGTTGCCACCTACTAACACTAGGCAGTTGCCATGTAGCACTGAAAAAATGGCATGGCAAAAAAACATGTTCAGGTAAAAGAGAGAGTTGTCATGTGCTCACAAACACGTTAGGGCAGTTGCCATGTAAAAAGAAAGAGTTGCCATCTGCTTACGTGCACGCTAGGACAATTTGCCATGTATCATGCAAAACATATGGCAACTGACATGTTCGGGTAAAAAAAAGAGTTGCCATCTGCTTGCAATCACACTAAGGCAGTTGCCATGTACAGTGCAAAACGCATGGCAACTGGCAGCTTGGGTGTGGGAGAGGAGGCGGACGTGTGGGCGAGATGGCAAACGCCCACACACCAGCCCTTGTGCATGACTGAAAACTGGTGTGTGGGTGAACTGCTAAACGCCCACACACCGGCCCCACCGTGTGGTAAAACAGATGTGTGGGCGAACTATGTCACACACCACACACACGCCTTGTCCTACGTGGCACAGAAAATCAGCCAGATTGTGTCAAGATTCATGCATATAGTACTGGACGGTGATGGATGCGTGTGGACGAGATGGTCAACGCCCGCACGTGTGGGCGTTAACATTTCCGAAGAAAAAAGGCCATAATCCAAACAAATTGCTATTTCATATCTAGATGTGAAATAGTTATCTCACATCTAAGTTATAAACCGTAGGATACATTGTTCAAGATTCGTGTTTTTCTAAGGCGCGCTCCCGCGGCGGCGCGGTTGACTTGAGATTCGTATTGTACAATGAGCGTTTCCTGCAGCCTTGTGCCTCGACCATTTTGTTGTTTTCACCTTTTGTCTATTAGTTTGACTAGTATTTTTTCGCTGCAGCAGCTGCTGCACTTGTGAGTGCCTTTGTCTTTTACTTTTTTTTTCTCCGCAGGTCTATCTTTGTGTATAGATATATTGCGTATACATCTCCTATGTTTTATTTTTTTCATAGCGCTCGACCCCTCGTACGTGGCGTGGCAGTGGGCTGCAGTCACAATTGTTCGTTATTTCCTTTTTCTATTTCTTTTTTTCATTTATTTGTTTCAAATTTGTAAACTTTTAAAATTCATGTTTTTTCTTTTTTCCTTTTCAGTTTTCATTTTTTGAAATTCAGCAAAATTTCCCATCGTTATTTGTTGAGTGTCTACCACCTAATAGAGCAGTCTCTTTTTTCTTTGTTCGAGTTGTAAGTCTACCTTTAACATGCAACTAGGGCCCGACCTTCTTTTGTCACAGTTGTAATCTTACCTTCGACTTGCGACTGAGCTTCGACAATTTTTTTGTATCAGTTGCAAGTTAACCATCGACTCGCAACTAGGGCCCGGAACTTTTTTGTGTCAGTTGCAAGTCCACCATCGACGCGCAACTTAGTCTCAATTTTTCTTATTGTACCAGTTGCAAGTCCACCCATTGACTCGCAACTGGGGCCCGACCTTTTTTTGTCTCGGTTGCAAGTTCACCCTTGACTCGCAGCTGAGCCCAACAGTTTTTTGTCCTAATTGCAAGTTCACCCTCGACTCGCAACTGGGGTGTGATATTTTTTTGTCCCACTTGCAAGTCCACCCTTGACTCGCAGCTGGGCCCCGCCCTTTTATTTTGTCCAAGTTGCAAGCACACCCTTGACTCGCAACTGAGCCTAACATTTTGTATCCTAGTTGCATGTCCACCCTCGATTCGCAACCGAGCCCAACATGTTTTTTCTTAGTTGCAAGTTCACCCTCGACTCGCAATTGGGCCACGATCTTTTTTTGTCCCAGTTGCAAGTCCACCCTTTACTCGCAACTCCCCCCCCTTTTATCAGTTGCAAGTCCACCCTCGACTCGCAACGGAGCCCAACAGTTTGTGTCCTAGTTGCAAGTTCACCCTTGACTCGCAACTGGGGTCCGATCTTTTTTTGCCCCAGTTGCAAGTTCACCCTTGACTCGCAGCTGGGTCTCGACCTTTTTTGTCCTTGTTGCAAGTCCATCCCCCACTCGCAACTGGGGCCCCGTCTTTCTTTTTCAGTTGCAAGTCCACACTCGACTCGCAACTGGGGCCGAACCTTTTTTTGTCGCAGTTGCAATCCCACCTACAACCCACAACTAAAGACCGACTTTCTTTTTATCCCAGTTGCAAGTACACATCATCAACTCACAACTCCATCCTGACCTTTTGTGTCTCAATTGTAAGTCAACTCTCGACTCATAACTTGGGGTCCGATCTTTTTTTGTCTGAGTAGCGACGTAATGAGCACGTTAGTTTTTCATGTGTGACTAACAAAGAAACAACAAGAAAATTTGTTCTTGAAGAAATTATTCGAATACCAAAATGTGTTCATATTTTTTTTAAAAATGATCAGAATTACAAAGTTTATTCACATTTGAAAAACACCTTTTGTAATTTTAAAATTGTTTGTGTTTTAAAAAATATTCGGCTTTCAAAATTGTTTATAATTTGCAAAGATGGTTTCAGGAAATATCAAGAATGTCTTCTAATCTCGCCCTGTACTATGACCTTATTAAGGTTTCCCGCTTCCTAATTAACACTAGTATTCGTTGTAGTGGTACGAGCAGGTGTTCCTACTGCTCGCGTCATGAGTTCGATATGTGGGACACGCAATGCTGACGCCGGCCCAGTCGCATGACAATGGCTGTGCAACTCGCCAAATAAAAAAAGAAGAAGAGAACGACATAGTGTGTTGGACATGCGCTGATTTGTGCTTATGTCACAATTTAGATGTGAGATAGCATCTCACATCTAGATGAGATATAGTCACACCCTAATCCAAAACCCAAAATTTAAAATAAACTGACTTTGGCATTGCACAGTACAGGCCTTTTCCGGCGTCGAACAAGCCTACGCGAGCGTGAGAAAAATGAACTCAAATCTTCAACGTGGCACTACTCACGCCCGAACGGCGACACTCCGAGTTTTATTCACCCACAGAGCCAGCCAATGAACTAGTTGGAGCTGAGGCATTAGGATTGTCCTCTCCATCGCCGGAGGGATGGATAGAGGAGAGACAAATCCACGGGCTTGCCAATAGAGATCAAGGTAAAGAAGGCTTTGACCCAGTCGCCTTTCTAGAAGTGAAAGAAAGTGTCGCGTCTACTAGGTTTGTGTATATAAGCCATTTGGGACAACTTGTTTTTTCTAAGTACTCTAAACAATCTGATGTGTTTGATATCAATAAATTAGAAGTAGTTTCGTAAAACTGTAGTATGTATCTCTAATACAGTGGATCTTTTTAGTACTACTTCTGTCTCTAAATGTACTATGTTTTTTTTTTGCGGGTATAAATGTACTATGTTTCTAAATGCAAGACATTTTAGCAGCAAACTTTGAATTGCTAAAACATCTTGCATTTAGAAAGAGATGGTGTTTTGTGAAAGAGGTTTGGACCTCTTTTTTTCTCTCAACCAAAACGAGAAAAAACCATTATTTCAAAAACTGAAACATTACACTGTGACTGTGGGGTTTCAGATTGCTGCGAGTTGAGAAAGAACTTTGCTGCAAAAGTCGGTCGGGCTTTGACCGAAAATGAAGTCAAATCTTGGGCTCGCTGCAATTGGATCACACCCGAACGTGCACTCCTCTTTTCCCACATGTACTACGTGCGTACCGTGTCACAAGTCTTTTCTTTTCCCACGCCACACGTACACGTGCGTACCACTCACACTCTTCGGCCCCGCATCCATCCAGTCCATCCCCGATCTCTCTCGTCAGTGAGTTGTACTACAGTAGAGTACATCCGGCGCGCTGTAGCTAGTCCCTCCGTTCGGAATTACTTGTCGCAGAAATGAATGTATCTAGATGTATTTTAGTTCTAGATACATCCATTTCTAAGACAAGTAATTCCGAACGGAGGGAGTACATACGTTGGCAGCAATAATGGAGGTACTAGTAGATGACAAACGGCCGAAGATCCACTCACCCTGCCAAACTCTTGCTGCACGCGCGCGCACACACACAAC